AGTGAAATGATTTCAGAATGCCTGGAGATCCTTCATTACATTAGGTACGTGTTCTTGGTTTATATTATACACACACACATACACACACACACAAGCGCGCGCACACACACACATACACACACACACACACTCACACACACACACACACACACACATATATATATATATATATATATATATATATATATATATATATATATAAATGTATATCTTTCAAAAGAGGGAATTATATGTGGCATGTATTATATAGTTTTGTACATATATGAGTTTTTTTTTCTGTATTCATATCGGAGGAAACAGGTATTTCTCTGTGGGGGAGAGTAACACATCTGGTTGACATTGGCAATCTTTGCACACATGGTGGAAACTTCCAAGTACCTATATGTGTTGTTTATTTTTCCCAGGCTATGAGTACTCTCTGTTAATAAACGATAGATGTAATAGCTAAACTTTATGCATTTGTAAATATACCAGCACAAATATACGCGCTTTTACTATTTGCTGCTAAACTATCTGCTTCTATTATATATGAAACGATGTTAATTGCCTACTTCAATGTGTTATTTTTGACATACATATACGTAGAAAAAATTATGTTTAATCAACATTCTATTACTCGTTTCGTGGAAATCTGCTGGTCCCACTAGTTATTATAATTACTTTATTGTAATTATGTTTTGATACTATACTTAATTTGTATTTATTTTATTTTTTATTACGGTTTTAACAAGAGATATATAGGTTTGGCACTTTGAAGTATCTTTATGACATACGCTAATGAGAATGAATATAATTTATATTACATATAATATTTTAAATGAAAACATTGATATTTGAAATTTTGTTAATGTGCCGTCATCGTCATATTAGGAACTAAATATAAAGAAGTTCAGTTTTGTAATTACATAATCCAAAAAGGGTTGACAAGTTGTAAAATGGGTAAAACCAAATTTATACTGGATGTCAGAGAATAAAATATTTTTTACGAAGGAATGGACTCATCTTTTGCTCATCAACTCTGGTATCCTTTACGTTAACTGCCGTGCTAAAACTATATTTTAATAATTCACTATTTAGTTAGTAATTATTTTTACGTCGTACGAATTGATTTTATTATTTCCAAAACCTAAATTTTGTGCATGAGACAAAAAATTTAAATTTTCTTTCAGAAGAAAATGCTAAGAATTTATAAAACGTCACTGCAAAAATAGTATTGGTGATTTTATTGACGAAAAATAATATGATGCTGTTTTATATTTTATACTTAAATGCTTATTTTTGGCAAAATAAAAGCAAGTAGACAATAATGAATTTTTTTCTTTTAATTTAAAAAAATATAAAACTGCAGCATTTTAAAAAATGACACTTTACCACAAATTTTTGTCTGTAGTACACACACATACATATATATGGATATACATATATAAATATAATATATATATATATATATATATATATATATATATATATATATATATATATATATATATATATATAAATATATAAAAAGAAATATGTTGTAGTGGTTCCAACGAGAGAAAAGTATGTATATTAAAAAAAGAGGTGCCGCAAACGTTTTTGGTTGTAATGTGGATTTATTGAGAAAAAATATTATACTTTGTTTTACAAATTTCACGACACGTGTTTCTGGTCTTGTCTCAAAACATTCTTCAGATGAAAGTGGAGATTTTACATATTATTAAAAATAATTAATTTTTCTTCATGTTCAATGTGGAATATTCTCGATATGAGACATTCTGTTTGAAAATTGGCAATCCGAATTTTCTTTCTACAATTGTCAAAAAAACATTAAAATATTAAATGCCGATAACTATGAAGACAAACCTTAATTGTTTTATAACCCTTCATGCAGAAATCTTCACTTTCAATTCTAGAAGACGGATTGCCAACGAGAAACAGACCAGAAACACGTGAACATGAAAAAAATTATTATTTTTAAAAATAAAAAAAATATAATATTTTTTCTCAATAAAACACGTGTCACATTATGTAAAAACAAAGTAAAACGTTTGTGGCAACCAAAACGTTTCTTTTTAATATATATATATATATATATATATATATATATATATATATATATATATATATATATATACAACTGAGAGAAAGAACGGCTGCCCTTGTGTAATACTTTGCTTTTGTAATTAAAAAAAAAGAAGTTAATCACAAGTCTTCTACATTCTAGCAAACACCTCAACACACACGCACAATACGCAAAAATGGAAACAGGTTTAAAAAGATACAGATGCCATAATTGATAAGACCAAAGAACTCCTTAATATTATTTATTATAGAAGATTAAAAGAAATATTATTTATTATAGAAGATTAAAAGAAATATTATTTATTATAGAAGATTAAAAGAAATATTATTTATTATAGAAGATTAAAAGAAAAACATGTTGAAAATCGCTGCATAGTAGCTTTCATGTTTCAGCGTTATGTTGTGCCTCTTCGGGTGATGGTAATTAACTGGTGAGTAAATGATTATTTTTAATTTCAAAACCAGAAACCCCCTTCTTTTCCCAAAAGAGAAGAACAGACTAGATAACAAAAAATCAGAATTAAAAAGAAGTTTGTGTGCTTATCATTTAATAGTCAGTCCTATGCTCAACTCTGCGCCATGCCACAAAAGCAGACTAACCTAGTCATGGCTCACTAACAATTTCTGCGAACATATCACCTCTTACGTCTGGTCACCAAACACCCCAACCCCTTTGATTATTAGGTGGGGGCTCAGTTGGACTAGAAACCCACAAAACTTCTTGTAACACCAAAGATGAACTCAAGGAAATGATTATAGCAGCATTCGCCAATTTAAACAAGGAGAACTCCCCGAAGAGTTTCAGAAGATTCCGAAGTCGTCTGGAGGCCGTGGTGCAACCCAATGGCAATTTTATTGAATAAGTTTACTCTTTAGTATTTCAATATATTTTTTGCGTAATTTTGGTAAATATATCTGTTAAAATTAGACCCCGGTGTTATTTTCATTTTTGCGTAATTTAGATGACAATTTATCCATCGCATCAATACCCCTGTGTGTGTGTGTGTGTTAGACATGTGCATGTGTGTGTATTAGACACGCCCAGCAAAACGTTGTTGTAACATTGTACATTGAAAGGACCCCTAGGGAAGATTAAATTAAAACTTGGAATATGCTCCTATCTTATATATCTCTTATCACGCAGAAATGAACAGCTTGTCATCCAAGGAATCGATTTGGAAGAAATAAATTCCCGTTGAATTGCGTGATTTTCTAACCTTTGTAATTTATTTCTTAATTCAATTCATTTGCTGGTCCCCGCCACTGACCACTGGCTCGATTCAACTTCAACGCATTCGCTATAAAAATCATTAATTAACTGATGAGTATTCTATTCCAAAGATGATTCCTTCCGGCATTTTCAGTGTGTTACGTTTCATAGGGAAATGTCAATCTTTCTTTCTGTTTTTTTCTTTCTTTATTTCTTTCTTAATCTTTATGTGTTTAATCTATCGTGCACTCTTCAAATCTGCGTTTTCATCAACTGGTTTCTATTATTCTGTCTCATCACACTCAATTATTCTGCGCCTTTTCGCATCTATCTATCTATCTATCTATCTATCTATCTATCTATCTATGTTGACATTCATCTATCTAACTAGGCATTCATATATCTATCCACCTTGGCATGCATCTATCTATCTACCTACCTATCTCTCTATTTAAGATTTAAGATTTGAGAAACAGCAGATATTTTTATATATTTTGCTTAATATTAAAAATATCAAAATAATAGAGCGTTAATGATATTATATGAAAAGATTACTTTTAGATATCAATTTTATCCCGACATCGATACTTCTTGATGTTATATACCGTACGTATGAACACTAATGCGTATACCCAATCCTCATAAATACGTTGGACACTTTTTTTTATGTGAGAGTAATATGCTGTCTAAGAAGTCCACCACTATCAGTCGTTTACATAATTTAAGTCGCTGGCGAGTATTGTATTTTGTTGATGATATAAAGATTACCATTTCATTTCCAACCCCCGTTTTGGTTATTCCTTATTCAGTAACCCTCCCTAGGTTACAAGACGTGGTAAAATTGTATTCACCGTTTAAATCCACAGCCCCTTTAGATTGGAAATTTTACCAAAATCATCGATTTCTGGATAAATGTTATATTTAAATGTAAAGTAAACGTTTCATATTAATATCTCTCTATGTTATATCTATGTTCATATGCATCTGTCTATTTATATATCTGTTCGTGTGCATTTATCTATATATCTATGTTCGCATGCATCTATTTATATATAGGTTCGTATGCATCAGTTTATCTATTTATGTTCGCATGCATCTGTTAATTTACATAATCAACGTTCGCTTGCATCTACTTATATATCTCTGTTCGCGTGCATATATCTATCTATGTAGGTATACATCTATCGATCTAGCTATGTCCTCATCTGTTCACATGTATCTATCCTTCCATCTATATCCATTTCATTTTATTTGCAATTAGCAGTTATATGACTAAACCAATATCCTACATTTTATCAGGAAATAGAAACCTATTTACTTCTCAACCAAGTTAAAAGAAAATGTTTACACTTGGTCGTACGTTGTTAAATAAATATGCCGGGAATGCCACTTCTAGTATGTGTATAATCGTTAATGGTATCCTCGCTTGATTTAATAATTCCTTTTTTATGGATTATCAACCCTTGTAGTTTATTTAAAGCCAATATTTATTTTTGGGTTGTAAGCAGAATTCCTTCTTCTAGTAAATATTTTATTAATAAATTTTAGGAGATAATAATATTTTTTTTCTTTTCAGATACAAATTTTATTATTTAACCCATTGTTGAGGTGCGTAGAAGTGGTGGATTATTTTCACGTAAATGAATATAACGAACCCAAATAGAATTCGAACTCGGATCTCCTAGTTATCATTCTGTGCTTTTATTACTCCACATACACATCCGAGCATACAACACCTAGTATTCCCAAGCGGTCTCCCATCTAGCTATTAACCAGGCTCAACGTTGCTTAACTTCGGTTGTCGAACAACAACAGGTGCTTCAACGTGATACAACCGTAATCTGGGTTGTTCGTGTAGTATAAAGTATACAAGTTCAGTATGTGAAATCAATGATGCTAGTTGAAATCAATGTTTAGTATGGACAATGACCTTGGAAAATACCTAAATCTGTCTCTTCCCGCCACAGCTATGAGTTCAACTGCAGATTTAATTGCTGTTTAGATTTGTATCCATGTCAAGAAAAGGGAGATCTGAGTTCTAGAAAGCAGAGAAGTCAACGGAACAACTCACCAGTAACTTTTCCAAGAATACATGGCAATTCATAGATCATAATTGAAAGTAATCCGTTGAGAGTACCTAATTGCTTATATTCCCAATATTATGGCATTGGAAAAGAGTTTTCAAAAGCATTAAATCTTTCGTTACTTTAGGATATATTTTCGGCAAAAGTTGACAGAGGAATGCAGTAAACCTACTTACCCAACATGGCCGAATAGGTAGTGATAGTTAAAATAATTCAATAAAGATAATAATAGTGATAATATAATTAGTAAATGATATAAAGAACTACAAACGTTAAGAAGTTGGGAAGAGTCATGTTCGCCCACACCCTGAAGGAACACGGCACATAAATATAAATCCTGTGACTGAAATTGATTTTGATGAAATAGATTAGCCATAATTCTCTCCGAATTTCTGGTTTCTGAATTATTATTCATAATAATTACATTCGAACTATTGTCATTTTCATAGTTGTTGTTATCACAAAGTTTCGCTCATTGTGCCTCCTCTATGGCCTTAATTTGATGATCATCGATCTAGATAATCTATAGGATATTCTAAAAGTAACCTTTATTTAATCTACAGGGGCAGACTATTCTCATCCCATTGCCCATATCTATAGATATCTTGTCTAGTTCTTATATTTAGTATTGCGCATTTGTTGCGCGCCCATTTCCACTGAGTCTAAGAACGCATTACTCGGTCCAGGGATTGGCCCCTGGTAGAATGTACTAACATTCCAGCAGAAAATCTGATGGAAATTTTGACATTCTGTTTTGTGTACAATTAGTTTGACTTATACCAACAGGAAGAATGGTTGACTATGGGTTCACTGTTGTCACCAGTGTTTGCAAACATATATGTGGAAGCTTTCGATGAAAGAGCTTCAGGAACGGCACCACCAAATCAATCAATCAGTATGGATGAGATACTTAGATGACGCTTTCATATGCACCAGGAAGCTGTACAAATATGGTTAGATCATGCGAAGTGAATAAGATGGTCGATCCAGTTCACAACGGAAGAAGAAAATAATAATCAGATAATAATCAAACCTTTCCTGGATATACTAATAATTCGCACAGAGAATAGTTTCAAAACATGTCAAGCCAATCTTTATCGGATACATTTTCAATTCCTACCATCCATACATCATGAAATGGATTGTTCGATATATGCAACACTGGACACATATCATAAATTGAGACCCACATGTATGTTAACAAGAAATGATTAACATCAAGCGTACCTTTCAAAAGAAAAGAAAAACTATCCTGCAAAAATAACATTGCTTGCAGACGGAAACAGAAGAGTCATGGTGAAAGATGAGAAAATCACCATGTTATCTCTGCCTTACGCCAAGGACTTATCGGAAAAGATTAAGAATATCCATACAACATTAGAAAATATTCAGAAGAAGTTATATTCTATGAAGAATTCTCTGTCAATAAAAGCCTAGCACAGAAGAGAGCATGATCAAGAAAAGCGTGTACATCTTTCTTTACAGTCGTGGCAAAAATATAAAAATGAAACAAGCCGCTACTAAAGGTAAGATGTAGTGAGGTCATGGCACAATGAAATCGGACATGGCTGATCATGTATGGAGTGAAAATGATAGTCAGACCCTGGGGAATTAAGTAAAGCTACTGGACATGGAAGAAAACTGGAGACTTAGGCGTCTGAAATAATCAGCGTACATGCTAGAGTATGGGGAACTAGGCCTAGCACTTAAACAAATGCAATATGTTAGCCGCCAATATAGAAAGAATGACACATGGCATAAAGTCTTAGCAGCAGCACTCAAGCATGACAGAGAGTAGCAGCAGGTAGGTTAGGTTTAAAGCTCCAAGTTCACCACAGAAATTCGTTCTGATACACTTGGTGGATAAAAGCTTTTGTTCGTAAATTTGGTGACAGCAAATATGAGTTCAATCTCTTTGTCGGGAAGTGGAAACGTAAGAACAATAACAGAGCAGTTCTAAAAATAAGAACTTGACGATGTATCAGCGGATGAGAAGGATTTACCCGCTAGATTAAATAACGAAGTCAGTTCAGAATCCCTTGTAGGTTACTCTGGTGAAGGCTAGATGTTACAGTGCCCGAAACGTTGTGATAACAACAACAACAAAGGCAGGGATAATGGACCGAATGTAAATATTGTTAATATAGATAAGCCATATAAAAATCAATGCCAATGAATAAGGTCGAATGCGAAACAACGGTGTTATTTACCAATTTAACCGACGAAAAATATTATTTTCTCGGATTCGAGACAATTTACGTAAGGACCACATATTTCCTTTTGCTTGGGAAGTAAAATAAAGAATATATTTTTATTATTATTTACTATATGAAATAGCACATTCGCTTATTGTCCGGTCCGCACACTTCGCCGATATTTTGAAAAGGAGTAGAGGTTTATTCTTCGTTTTCTGTACATGGTAATTTAATTTTAGCTCAGATGTAGCACAACGCTGAAAATATGGGATACTCGGGGATGATCGAACTTACTATTCAGTTGTAATTGATCTGGCAATACAATCTCTTTAACCATTACACCAAGTTGAAGTTCCCTCTGTTTTTTGTTTAAAACTAAACATGAAGAAATATAACATGGATATCAACAGCTGGATATCCAGTGAAATAGACAGGAATCTCTGGAGATCCTTTGTCAGATCCTTTGTCAGATACGAAACAACAATCTTTAAATCCAAACGATCAGCCTAACTAGAGGGAAAAGGAAGACGTCTAAAATAAAGAACAACAAACTAGGACTAATATACCATCCGGGACAACCAGTCTTCAATGTAAAAGGACCTTTCAAATAGAAATCGGTCTCATTAACCATCTCAGAGTCTACAAAGCCAAATGACTGAATCAAACAGAAAAAGACCATCACATTCGACCTCTATGGATAGCCACGAGTAGGACGAGGAATGGGAAACAAATATAATGATGCCGTATGAACCGCTATCAATAATAGCAACCGGTTGTTTTCATTAGAACGGGATGCTCTGTACACATTAAGTTATATAACCAGGCATCACCATAGGGATTTATTGCAGAGAATGAAATGATTTGAATAAGTACTCCTTCCAGCTGTGCTAACGGAAGAAAAACTGCTCAGAATTAGAAGAAAGAAAAATACAGAAGACCAACTATTAGCGTTGGATAACGTTAATAAAACGTCTTACGTGGGTGACAAGGCAGAAAATATCACAGCTTAGCACCCACATGTTCATTCATCCGCATTTAGTAGATTATTGATTTTCAACATTGGTGGTGTAGCCTCACCCTAGAAGCTGTGAGCTCTCTTTAAACACCTTGGTGTGTACGTGTTAATGACTCATATAATTGTGACAAAGTAGTAAGTGTATTTGACATGTTCATGCATGTTGACAAATCTTGGAAGTTTGAGAAAATAGATAATTTTGCATGCAAAAGTTTAAGTTTTATTAGTTGAAACCTTGTAAAACAAAAATTGATAATTCGATATGCTGATGGTAAGTTTGTAATTAGAATATAGGGTTATTATAATAAAAAAAAGTGATTAATGATGCATTTTGGGACCAATTAGAATAGAAAAAATATTTATGCCGTAAACTAAGCATGATAATCTCGAATTATTATTGGACTTTAATCTGATTAAAAATTGCGGTTTGGTTATTGCAAGCACCTTTTGCAAAGGGAATTTCCACGTGGATGTCAGAAACATGGTATACAGAAAGTATTATAACAGAATTACCAGGATTATAATAATAGTTCTAGAATTCATTTAATGCCAGAATTCATTAAAATCATTTTGAATAGTATTAATTTCTTTCAGATAAAGTGGTAATTTATCGATGGCTTGAAATTTAACAGACGGGAAGCGCAAATGGATTTTGAAACAGTTCTGGAACACATTGTTATTGATATGCTTGCATAATCAATACAATACCCGTTTTCTTTTTCATTATTATATACCTACTTGTGTATTCTCTGTATATCCTAATAGCAACACTGTTAAACAATTGCTGGAAAGGTCTGATCCTTGTTTTCTTGATCCACAGTTAACGTTGACTTTATACATTCAGCAGCAGCAGCAGCAGCAGCAGCAGCTTCCTACAAAACAAAATAGATATTTATGTTCAAGTTTTAAAATATAAAATGTCTGCACCAACAGAATAACTTGCCTTGGAATTAAAGCTAGTTTGCATATTGTTCTAATATGTTCGATTTATGTGTTCGTAGTGTAGCAGTTACCGGGCAGATAAGGTGGCATTGAGTTCAAAATTCCGACTGAAACTGATGCAATCACATTTGAACAAATGACCTTGTTAAGGAATGAATGTTAGGTTTTACAGCTGCGTATACTTGATCTTTTGATTTTGTTGACAATCTGAATGCAGAACTTTTGGGGTGTGAATCTAGCAAGTCTACTCCGTAAAAAAAGCTATTTACTACGGAAAACACATCACCATCGATCGTAATGTTCTGGCATTATATTCAGCAGGAATCTCTATGACGTTCTTTTCGTCTTCACCATCTTGTGCCCTGTCTTTTCAGGGTGTTGACGATCATGGCTCTCCAGAAGTTCATGCCCCTTACAGCTCTAAATACATTTTGCCTTGTTGTACTCTTTCCTAAAATCAATTCTGCCATCCATTTTCAGTTCCCTAGGTAAGTTACGCGTTGTTGTCTTCTGGCTCACTTGTCTTCAATCTATCCCGTGAGCACTCTTATTTCATTATGTGCCCTAGAAATTTCAAATATCTTTTTCTGGTCATAAATAA